ACACCATAATACACCTGCATGCTAAACAGGTTGCATACCATCAACACAGGTTTAATACATTACCTTCTATTAATAACATATGAAGAACTCCGAATGAATTTTTAGTCATACTATTTTTAGTTTTGTTTTTTTTATTCTCTATGGGTAAGTTAAAACACACCAAGAAGATGTAGAAAACGAATTTTTAGAACTTTTATTATTTTTAACTAAATTTTAAAATGTATTGTATCCAGTATTGTATAAGTTTTAGTTTATATGTTTGTTATTAATGTTGAGTGTCATAGCTTCTTACAAATAATCTCAACGACTAGTAAGTACACTGATATTTTGTGATATATTGTAAATATTTACACATTTTTCTATTACAGTGTCTTGATAAAGGAATTAAACAATTCCGAAAGCTAGACCAAAAGTCAAAAGAGTGTTTCTGTAACATCCCGGCCAAACTTCTGACTGCAGCCCCAATAAACTTTGTTGTTTGTTTATATATATACATATATATATATATATATATATATATATATATATATATATATATAATTCTACGGCGCTAAAAATTTTGAAAAGGAATAAATTCCGTTCATATGAACTGAATATATTTCATCAATTTTATTGCTTTGTAAACAACACTACATTTGTAAAAATTTGCGTATTTTAGTATTTGTGTATAATTTAATCACAAAATAAAAATATTGACAATTCAAATATTGCCAAATATCAGAATCATCAATATGACCAAACGCAATATGTCATACACATTCTTCTACCTCGTGCGGCCTGACTTTAAAGGGTAGTCTGAAAAATGTACTATATTTTTACAAAATTTTGGAATATATTTAATTCGGTAGAACAATTTTGACATTTGGTTTTAATACATATTTCAGTCCTCTACAAATAGTTTCTTATGACTTTTGATGTAAAATAATTAGGGAAGCAGGAATTCAATAATTTAGAATTTCCCATTGAATTTCCTATGGCCCGTTAGGCGATTCACCACACGGTGAATACCACATATATATATATATATATATATATATATATATATATATATATATACAGATTGAACGAGTTAAATTCGGAACATACGAAATATGTGTTTCGGCTCAACTCCGGTCTAGATTCAAATCAAACAAAAGGTTGTCAAATAATTATGTTATAAAAATCTAATACTTAAACGGGCTGCTGGATTCTGAACTAATTCAAGAACTCATTCTTAGGTGGTCAAACCACCTATCGCTTTCTAAAGCCGGCCACTCACGGTACAGCGGTGTTGTCGTTCGACATAATCGGGCAGAGGCGTTGTTCAATTTGTTGGAATATCTGGTGCGCCCACACAATACTGCGCCGCAGTATTTGTTCGGTTCTCGACCATGTCAAATCAAACAATCATTTTAGCGTCTCTTACTTTGTGTATAACTAAGCGTAAAAAGAAATCTAAAATAAAACGTAGATTCTGGTGCAAAGAATCCAAGATTTTGGTGCAAAATAAATCTCGTCTACCCCTGCACCCGATTTACTGGACTGCAATACTAATTTTAATTCTCTTTTATATGATGTTTTAAAATTGTTAATTTTTTTTCTCACATACTCTTCATTCGCATCTTTGTTTACTTCTTGGAACTTTAAAACTAGGATGTCCATTGCCTGTTTTCGGGCGTTTCTATCGTGACGTTTTACCTTTTATTCGCTATAAGCATTCTTGTATTTTATATAATTCAAAAAACTCTCTTAAAAAATTCTCGCTAAATCAAGACATTTCCATTTTCTATAATATGATCAAAGCAAGTGTGTAGTTAAAAACGAAGTTGAACCACGCCGCTGTATTGTGAGTGGCCGGCTTTAGAAGCCTCTCTTTCGTTTATCGGAGATGGAGATTTTGAGCGGTGTGACCAATATCATTCCTCTAGATGTTTCTAAAATAACTACAAACTTCTAAAATAACTACAAACCATTAAGTTTATTTTTGTTATTAGTCTGTTGTAGTAGATTAGTAAATACAATGAAAAATATAGGCAAATATACGATTTATTTAAAGATACGAAGAAGACATAACTCTCAAAAAGATCCGCAAATCGGATTATTGCACAGCGATTGGCAACATTGACTTTAAGCTGCGCTCTAGACTATGGTGCGTTCTAAAAGGAGACGGATAGTTTAACGATATTTTATACAATGTCTGTCACCGCGAATATGGATTTATTTTTGTCCAAGTTTTATATTGGTCCACTATTTTAAATGCAGTTCAAACAGACATATATTAAATTGTATGATCCGTTTTAAATTCGTTCAATCTGTATATATATATATATATATATATATATATATATATATATATATATATACCTATATATATATGTATATATATATATATATATATTATATATTATATATATATATATTATATAATATATATATTATATATATATATATATATCGGAAAAAGGAGTAGGACCGTCAATCCAATATATATAAGGATCACTCAGACGAGTGGTGGGTTCTTATATCGGTCTCTAAGTGGAGAAATAAAAGACAAAGTTGATAGGCTACTTAATCTATTTTGAAGACGTTTCGCTTTCGAGTTTTTGAAAGCATCATCAGTTCATCTAAAAAAGTACAATATGAGAACCACACAATCATGGAAACGATGTTAATTGTTACCTTAAAAAGACATGTAGCAGTCAATGTTATTAACAATAATGTGAATGAAACTAAGTAAATGGACATAATACGCTGATCTTGTATAAACAATTAAGTAACTAACAACATATATGAACTTATAAAATTAGCACAGCAAATGACCATGTTGTCTAAAGTAAATTAAATGTTATTTAATGTTAATTAGTGAGCAAGAACCAAGAAAATCATAGATAACTTCCAACTATTTTATGATTATTAAGCTTTGATTTTAACTTTAGGTAGCATTATAAGTGATATTAATAAAAATTATAAAAGTAGTGTAAATGAAGTTACCGATCAA